TCGCGTGCAGAGGACGGAGGACAAAGGGAGGGAGTACGGCAAGAGCGTGAGATCAGGGGAGTTTCGATGGTTCGTGAGGCAAACAGGTAATTTGCTTCTTCATCTTCGGGCTGCTGAGATGATTTTCGTGCGGCACCATTGTTTTTGACGGGGGTACGTAGTGCGACTGTGAATGCCAATTGGTTTGCAAGAATAAAACCACATTTTATATTTATGAAAAAGTGTGGCAGACCTTGGTGGAACTGAAACTCTCTCGAAACAAGTGTTGGATATTTTTATTGCAGTATGATGTATCCTCACTTTTGATAGTAATCGCGAAAACAAAGCTTGTTGCTGCTATAAAATCGATGGGTGTGCGCTGCGTTGTGTTCCTCACTTATAAGGATCATCAGAATATGTGTTCCATGTTCTGCAAACACAGCCCTCATGTAATTGTTAGTTTTCATACAATTTGCAATGCAATTGTAGGTTCTCCTGATTCACGGCGTGGGACTATTATGTTTCTTCACGGTGCTCCAACTCAGTCATTTAGTTATCGCACGGTTATGGCTCAGGTTAGCTTTATTGACCGCATATTTTATACCTTAGTATGAAACAACTAGCTGTTCTTATTTTGCCTTACTTAAAAACAACATTAATAATATTTGAACTGGTTACTTATAAAGATAGCTACATGTTTTTAAGTAATCATTTACCATTGTATTACACAATAAAAAAATGGGTTTCTTCTATCTTGATAACTATATTTGGTTACAAAGTTTAGAGCCATACTTTATCTGAATCGTGCCATGACGCAGATTAACAACCTCGAACTTGACTGTTGTTTTGGGAACCAGATGTGATAAATGACCTTCAATTGGCGATTGATAAAATAACTGGGGTTTAATTTTAATCATTTTTGAATAACACGTTCAAAAGGCTTAAAATTATGATGTGAATATACACATTTATGCTTTTGTTGCAACCAACCATTCCAGCCTCTAAGAAGCTATTGACCTTACTAGATGGCAGATGCTGGCTACCATTGCTTTGCTCCTGACTGGATAGGATTTGGGTTCAGTGAGATGCCACAGCCTGGATATGGATTCGATTTCAAAGGTGATGAAATGTCTGTGAAATTCCTGGTACAAATGTGTCTATAAAACTAACCAAAGACACATGTATGTTCTACCATTTGTAGAAGAGGAGTTCCACAAGGCATTTGATGAACTTCTTGTTACTCTAAATATCACTGAACCATTCTTCTTAGTTGTCCAGGTACACATTTTGGAAGATTACAGAAAATCCTTGCCATGGAAGTTCTCATATGGACGTCTGAATCATTTCATTCATTTCTTTGTAGGGATTTCTTGTGGGTTCTTATGGTCTGACATGGGCATTGAAGAACTCGAACAAACTTCTTAAGGTAGCAATCCTTAACAGCCCACTTACTGTTTCTTCTCCAGTGCCTGGAGTCTTTAAGCAGCTCAGGTCAGCATGCTTCTCTTTGTTCCTTAATTCTAGTTGTTCTACGTTGTAAATTCAACCAGCGTGCTTCGGTAGATTTCAAAACCATGACTCCAAACATTTAAACAGCTGAAATCCACAACTAAATTGACTTGGAACACACATATATGCTTTATTGCTGCCATATCTTTTTTGTTTTTTAACAGAACTCTTTCATCTATTGCGTCTTATTTTGGGTACAGTGTGATGATATTTATTTCGCCCAGTGGTTTCGCTTTTCAATCCAAAATATATTTTTGGCAAGCTGGTGGTGTTATAGATGTTTATTTCACCTAGATTTTTCTTATTTTTCACTAATATTTTAGTTAATATTCTTTTTTTGCCTCTAAGTTTGTACTTATGTATGTGAACTGAGGGAATCAATTTTAATGCAGGTTTCCACTTGTGGGCGAATTTACCTGCCAAAATGCTATCCTGGCTGAGAGATTCATTGAAGCAGGTAGCCCGTATGTATCCTTGTCGCAGAAACTCTGTTTATTATACCATGCCAGTTTTGTTAGCACTAGCACTCTTTGTTTCCTGCGGAAGCGCATGCTGCTTGAAACAAGGGAATAACTTCCGTTTATTCCCCCAAATGATGCTATTTTGTGTTCATACCATCAGTACCTCTGTAGCAGTGTACCATCAGTACCTCCAGGTGACAAATTTGCATCTGAACCCCATTTTGTTTGACAGGTATGTGCTGAAGTCAGAGAAGGCCGACGTATACAGATTGCCGTATCTATCAAGTGGAGCACCTGGATTTGGTTTGTCCTTACTCGCAGTCTACTGGTTTTCTTACGTTCACTTTCTATTATCTCTAGGCATGAAAGGAAATTTAAATTACCAAACCAAGAATCTATTTTTGCTAAGAAAAGGAATGCAAGTTTTACATGGGATGCCACACATTATTTAACATGCTTTGGTAACTTTAAATCACCTGAACCCATGCATCATCATAAGTCATAACTATATATACTCATGCCTTCCCCTCGGGAAATTGTCTTCACGATATATCTATGCATATTGACCTAACTATCCTGCTATCTTATCTAAGGAAAGATAGTCATACTTTCGCTCTTCGAGACTTTCTTGTCCAAGTACTTTCCTCTTTGCCTATGCATTTGTGTTTCATAGAATTGCATATGTGTTTTCATTGAAGGATGTGCCTCATTGGAAAAAAAATCAAATAGAACCCCACTTGATGGAAAATCTTACACTGATTATATTATAATGTTTCAGTTGGCTTGCCTTTTTTTTCTTGAATAAGATTAGTTAGACTTCCAAATTGCTTTTTCAGTTGGCAATCTTAACATCTCACTCTTCTATATCTTTTTTTTAGCATTACTTGAAGCTGCCAGGAAGGCCAATTTTCAAGATGTATTAAGCAGAATTTCGGCTGGATTTTCATCCGACAGGTAGACTTATCCTCCAAACAATTAATTAAAACAGGCAGGCTGTGTCTTTACGCAAGGCTTGGTGTAGTAAGCTCTAGTGTCACTCACTAGTCATTCTGAAGTCAACACATGCACCCAATATTACTACTATCAAACAGGCAAATTACTTATCGAATGTTTTTGCTGTGCTGAAACCATCTTGTGGGCAATTTCCTGCAGCTGGGACAAACCAATATTGCTGGCATGGGGGGAGTCGGACAAGTACCTACCGCTCTCGATAGCCGAGGAGTTCAAGAAAAACAATCCATCAGTGGTGAAACTGAAACCCATCGAAGGAGCTGGTCACATGCCGCAAGAGGACTGGTAATTTCTTCTGTGTGGCAGAGTAAATTCAGTCGATTTGTGTCCTGCTCCTCCACCTGCACCTTATTACAGTATTATTCATGTACTTCTTTTTCGGAACGAAAACAAGAAAACCATCCCGGTGGAAAAGGATGCACCCGCGCCACAAGTATTATTCATGTAGATTATTACCCAGTTTCTGAAAATCACAGTACGTGTGTACCATACACTGTGTTCTAACATTCAGTCTAGTCTAGTCTAGTCTAGTCTAGACGCGTTATACGAGATTGTATGCTTGTGCTGATCACTGACGAGGTTTGTGCTATGCAGGCCAGAGAAGGTGGTGACGGCCCTGAATTCCTTCCTGTATTAGTCTATCGGAACTACTATGCGGACGACTTGGTGTGGACGAACTATGGACGATGGAGGATCGAAAGGTCATACCCAGTTGTCCACTACGCATGGATGGCATGATCTGCTGCATCGTGCAGAAATCGTCCAGATCCTATCGTGTGTGTAGCAGCGTTGTTAGTCTATTATTGAAGGAGGTCATCGTACAAGGTTAAAGCTGTGGTTGATCAGTTGGTATATATATGAAACTGTACAGTTCAGATGCACATTGTGTAGATGAAGGGCGGTTGAGGACAACTTGCGTGTATATACAAGAGTTGATTACACGCACATGGTACATTTACTCGCACTGTAAGTGAAAGGGTTGAAGATCATGCGAGTAAATGTATGTATGCGACGGACGGCATGATCTTCAGTTACCCAGCTGTGCAGTTATTTACTTGGTTCGACCCCGGTTCTGGTCTGCCGGCCGGTGGCCGTGAGCGCAGCGCAGTGGTCTCCGCTGGCAGAAGGAAGGGCACTCCAGTGTGTAGCATCGTGAACCGACCCCGGCCGAGGCAGGCTCCCAAGTTGAACTTGGCAGGCTAGCTGTCTGCAAGGTGGACCGGGGGTGGCTGGCGCGACCAGCTACCCTCTGCTGGCGTTGCTTACTGTCATGGACATGGACTGACCTTGGTCGTAGCGCCAGCCGCTGGAGCTATCACCAGCTGCTGGCCTAGCACATGGGCGGGCACGCATGGAGCCATGGACGAACAGATCGTATCCCTATCGATCCCAACTCTTCTGCCCTACTCCAGAGAAAAACTACAGATCTACATAAATTCTAAGCTGCTGTGTGGAGGAGATCCTGACCAAAGGCTGAAGCAACACGCTAGCTAGCTAGCTAAGGCGACCCTGGCGCCATTGGCGGCATGCATGCATGCATGCGGCCCCGCCGTCTCCCTGTGCATGCCTTGTTCCCTTCGACGAAGCCATCCCATCGTCACATGAGCTCCCAACGTACGTAGCGTACGGAGCGCATTCATGGAGAAAATGCCCATACCCCATACGGCATTCGCTGGTTGGCTCACGTACTATCGCCCGGGACGCACAAGGCCATGGATGGACCACCAGCCGGCCGGAGCGAGCTGCCATCGTGCCGTGTCATCCTTACCAGTCACACATCATGCAATGTCCAACACAGCCTGGAAGGCAGCATCGTGCAATGCCGAACACACTCATGCACACCGTAAAAGTAAACCAATCGGGAATTGCGGAATCGTGTGTACATCTCGCTTTACTTTTTCGCGATCACGGCACACCCTTGATCTGCTGCAGCGAACGTATACCTGGACAATACGGTGGCAATGATGTCAGTATAAAAATGCACGTAACACACGCGTGGCAACGGCTCCAAATTAAGCTACAGCTAGCTAGCGCGCAAGAATGGCCCGCCTCGGCATCACCGCGTCAGTCCTCGCACTCCTCCTCGCAGCGGCGACGTTCTCCTCAGCCGCCGGTTTACCCACGGCCGGCGGCGCGCCACGTAGGGTGCTGTGGAGCAAGGGCGTCCCGGCCGACCCGTTCTGCCCGTGGGAGGCCGTCAAGTTCGGCGCGTGCGCGGCGGTGCTCGGCCTCGCGGACGCGCAGGCCGGCGCGCAGCTCGGGAGCGAGTGCTGCCAGCTCGTGGGCGGTCTCGCCGCGACGGAGGCCGCCGCGTGCCTCTGCGTCGCCGCCAAGGAGGGCGTGCTCGGCCTCGTCTCCGCCGAGTGGTCCGTCGGCGTCGAGCTCCTCGCCAGCGCCTGCAAGACGGAGATCCCCGACGGCTTCAAGTGCGTGTGACATGTTGATGTTGTTTGGTCTGGTGGAAGCGAGTGCCCATGCATTTGAGCAGTGCTGTCTGTCAAAGTGAAAAAACTGCTTTCTTCTTCGACTTGTAGACATTTTGTTTCACTTCCCGGTGTATGCAAACGTAATTGCATGTTTGCGTCAACTATACATGAATCATCGTCAGTTTATTTATTTTGCTTTCCACGAAGGAGAGGCCGGGGTTTACAATTTTTTTTTTTTGGTGAGGAATACTTTTGACTACAAATCTCACATATAGAATGCTTACAGAACTAGCGTGAAAAACACACGATGTGAAAGTATTTACAAGCTAGGCAGAACCATACCATTTTTACATGCTAAACTCAATACACTTTCACAAAGATTAGTGGTCAAATTTGTAAACATTGACGCGCGGTATATGGCGGGACGGATGTAGTACGAAACGGGATGGTCATCACATGCATCAGGTCGATCGTACATTGATCCCCATGACCCTGGACCCCGTCGGTCGATCTTTCACCGGCTCGTTTTGATGTGACGGTGCACCAAACTTGTGTACGACTCGAGGCAGATTGGAAGTGTGGCAGGAAATGACCATGACCACTGGCCCTGATGGTACTGGAGAGCTATGGTGCCGATCGATTAATCAGAAAGTTTGCACGTTATATATGGAACCTGCGAGATACACGATAATTAGCGTGGATCGGAGTGAGTGGTGCAGTATCGAATTTGGTTGGGGTCTTTTTTCTTTTTGGAGTGCCGGATTCTTCACGTAGACCACACCTCGTGTTATCTCGTTATGCATACTGCTCTGTACAGTTCCAGTGGGGGCATCGGGCGGTGGACATGCGCTCAGGCCAAAATATAATCTTCGTTGGCTTGTAAACCTTGCATTGTGACACTGTTCGGTTACGTGCATGGCCTGCTGAAAGGCTTGTATTT